GAGACCAGGTGGAAGTAGCTCTTCTTCTTCTTGTGGATATTCTGAATATTGAGAAACATCGAAATGTGAATAAGAACCATCAAACATAAAGAGACAATTAGCGAGTTCAGCTGCAGCGTTTCTATTTCGACTTACAGATGTGAATGCATGAAATGATCGCTCTTTCCCAACATTTGCTCGAAAACTGTCAATTCGGTCTTCGAGCAAGTTCGCCCCTCGGTAAAGTGCAACTTTGTTTGTAGATGCATTGTACGTAAATGCTAAATTAAGCAAAAGAGCAAAAGGCCGCCAAGTCGGTACTTTGCTATACCAAATTCCTTTGTTTGTTTCGTCTTCATTTTCGACAAGACGCATGGACTCAGTGAGACTTTTGTAAAGAAAGCTTTCAAGTGTGTGCAGATGAGCACAGCATTGAACGACTTCTTCAATTGCACCATTTTTATGATTGAGAAGCATTCCACTCAACTTTCCTCCTTCCACCAAATTGTCGAGTATCTTTCCTTCTTCGACGATACCACGAGCTGCTGCTTGAACAACCATTCGTCGGCTTGTTTCATTCTTTTTTCAGTTTGTATTTAAGCCCAGATGTTCGTATGCTTCACATAGAAATGGAGAATTGTAAGGCTTAATTTCGTTGATCTGTGACTGTGCTTCGGTTGAATTTACAATCGATGTAGAAAACAAGGAATGGTTGTCTCTAATTTCAGATAAGGAAAAGTGGATTCGATTCCCTTTACTTGAGTAATGTGAAGATTGGGCGGTTGTGAATGACAAGCAATAATTTCAAATGGTCGAGCGGCGATAAGAAGAATTTCGTCGTCTGTAGCAGAATACGAATGATGCTGAATATCTTTTCCTGAAAAGCATTCAATAGCAATGAGAGTTCGATCACCTATCTCTCACAAGAATTGTTCTGTTTTTAAAGTTTCCAATGATTTCGTGCACGATGAGAATCCCCACCAAATGAATGTTTTGTCTTCTAGACAACGTGCACTTAAGTCCATCTTCATTCCTCTGTATACAGTTCGCACCTGTGAAGGTAATCGCGTAAGAGCAGTAATAAAGAGCTTCAAATAGAGAAACCAAGGCTTTAGTTTGTCGAGATGATTTGGTTCATTCGAGCGAAGTGCGATATTCAGAACAAAATAAGCGCTCGTTTCTCGTGATTTTCCATCCATCGAGTAGAGTCGAATTGAAGCTGATTCTTCAGGCGTTAGTCCGTCTTCAGGATTATCTGAGTTTAGTCAAGCAATTCACGCTTTATGGTCTATGTCAGGTATAATAGTAACAAGATGTTTCACAGCTTCTATAAGTGAAACAAGAGGAATATTGTCGTAGTCTTCGATCGATGAAAGCATTTCTTGAGGTTCGTCGATCACATCCATAAATCGAAGGTGATGTTGATCTGTTTCATCAGTAGCAGTACATGAGAAATTAGAAGCCATAATGGTGAACTAGTATTGATCAACAAGCAAATTAAAAAAAAATGCATAAAAATTTGTTTTTTTCTTACCGTTCTTCACATAATGTCTTTTATTGATTATGTGCGAAAGAAATCAATGCATCGAAATTGCGACCTTCATCATTTTGCTTTGCTTAACACATTTCTCTTCCATGTTTACTCGTACATTGTTGGAAGACATGTCACCAAAATTTATACAGTTGGTAGAAATGAAATAATGTGCACGTCATATGCACAGTGTGTGACCATTGTACGGTTACACGCACCCAGTGTAATAGCCGTTTGTCATGCGTTCGAGGTATGATATTTTTTTTTCATGTAATTAGCATGTTTCATGAACTAGTAAAAAAGAAGAAAGTGAATTTTATATACGTGATTAGGTTTTTTCTATTTGTATGATCAAAGTTGTCATAGTAATTATGGAAATAAAGGCATCCTAATATCCGAAAAATCCTTATTAAACACAGTTTCGATGAAAAATCAATGTAACACTAGAAAAACGATATCAATAATCATTTCTAAATGACACTAGACAGACATTTATTCAGATGTAGTTACGATTAGTAATGCTTGATTTCGCAACGTTTCTCTTCAAAAGTTATTGTATTTTACAGAAAATGAATTTCTCATGATCAAATAGAAAAAAAAACACGAATTTTTTATCAACCTGTGAATTATTCCGAAATAGCGTATAATTATCGCAATGTGGATGTTTTCGCATTGAGTGCCATATAGTTGTAGGTTCCTTGGAAATTATCGTATAATCTTTGATCTTATAATTTTAGAAACTAGTCGATCAACAAACAGCGTAAAATGAACAATATTCAGTTTGGATGAAAAAGAAATCCTGCAACTCTATAGAAATTTCGTCTAATAAATGTGTTTAGTATTTAGTCTATAGTATTCGTTATAAGGATGATAGTAATAGCGTAAATATCAATCGAAGCATCGTAGATCATGATGGAAACGTTGCAAAACAACTGTTCACACCATTTTTCTCGTAAAGACTAACTTATAAATATCGCTATATTTAAATTCGATAAATTTTAACTGCATCTTATAAATATCAGTCGTGCAATGTAAAATCTGTCAAACATGTTAAGAATTGAATGGTATTCAATAAGTCAATGAAAATGATGAAGATAGCTAGAAGTTGACTCTTTGAACTAAACATGAAAGTGATTTTGATTTATGTGACATAAATACTAGAGCTGTGTTTGAAATAACGAACGTTTCTCTATTTGAAAAATTATAATCGCATGATAGATTTCATCGATATCCTTGACTGGCATTGAATATTTGCACAAGAGGCAAACATGATGCACATGTGCTCATGCTGAAAAGTTCCATTCGACACGGAAGATAATTTCAGCCGCTATCCAAAGTTAAGTACAGAGATCATTAGTTCGTTTACTACAAGTGCACACTTGTCACCTCACGTAGGATGTATTACGTCCAGATTTGATCTTTTTAAGTGCAGAATCGCCCAGAGGTCTTTCCAATATCACTTTACTTTGATCTAGCTAGATGCGACTTGATGAGCGCTATCGAATGGTGAGAATGGCTTTTCCAAACCATATTTTGCTTTTTGAAGATTGTCTTTTGGTGAGTCCTGGGAATACTGTCCAATAGGGAAAACTAAACTGGTCAAATAACGGTTTCTAAAAATAAGAATATTTTAATGAAAAATGTTTTTCACTATTTCAGTTAGCTTATAGAGTTGTAGTTAAAACAGACTTCTTAAACCCCCTCCCCCTCAGAAAATCCATTTTTTGGTAAAGTAATCGAAGTCGAGTTTTTATCATAGGAAGATGCAGCGAAGTTTCCTCTTTCAGAATATATATAAATTTTTAAAAAAAGGTCAAATTTTTACAGACTTTCGTAAGAGATTTCCACCTCACTGCCCGGTTTTCGGAGAGATTTTTGCGGTTTTTGCTATTTTTGGGAAGACTACTTTTTTTACTTCTATCAGCATGGAACAAACATTCTTATATCATACAGTACGACCTGTAGTGCTAGCTTACGCCGCCTATTGCGTGCTTTCAAAAAAATTCTACATAAATATTATCAATATACCATTATTTCCTGCATTTGAATGAAAAACTCCATTTCTAAAACTTTAGCGTTTTTCTCAAAATGGTGGTCAAATGACGCATCACCACCAAAAGTCAATTATAATCCAATATAAAGTCAAATATTTTTTTTTGTTTGAAAGAGCATGTCACGATGCAGTGCTTGAGGGCCCTTTTTTTGATAAAGCTTTCTTATTATTATATTGAAAAGCGACTTTATAATATAAGCATAATTTTTTTGAGGGATTTTTGAATGATTGAATTTGTGAACCCTTTTTTTCTTATTAAAGATAAGAATTTAAAAAAAGGGCCCTCATAGGCACTGCATCCTGACATGCTCTTTCATAAGAAAAAACAATGAACCAAATTGAATGAACATCCATAGAGAATTTTTGGTGATGCGATAAGCTATTTTTCGACTCTTGTTTGGTTCGTATCTACTTTATACATCAGGATATGAGGCTGAAAATTTTACCACAGATGTACTTTTACACCTCCAACATATCTCCAGAGTTTCATGCTATCTCGATGTTCCGGAGCTGAGATCGATTTTTGAGGGGGGGGGGGGGGGCCTTAACGAATTGACCGAAGAATTACTGTTTTATTAAAATTTTTCAATAGGAGAAAATGCAGCATCTTGGATCTTTCTCGATCATAATAGGATCTATCCATGAACAGTTTTTACCATGTGTTAGAATTCGTCAAGTTCTACTTGGTCCATTTAGAGTAGTATTGAAAGAACTTTCCCCGAGCAAATCAGCCCTAACAAAGAATTCGAATCTGAGGCTAAGATATCCTACGTTGCCACTCATGCTTTGAAGTTTTCCTATGTCACGCTTTTCGAATGTTAATTGCCTCCTACTTGCCTGAGTTCATCGAATCCAAAGTTGAAGTACTTATAATCGTTGATATTTTGTTAAATTAATCAATATGATAGATCGATTGTTTCCAATAATGTTTTTTATCATCATGGTTTGAAAATCTTCACTGCATACAGGTATCAATTATGTTGATGAGAGTTAAGCCATACTTTAGTATGTCATGATTAGCGTTTTTCGTTGATTTTATTTACAAAAAAAGCTAATCAGCCGCACACGAAAACATTTATCCGTTCAGTGTCACACATCACAGAAAAGCACAGCGAAAGATTATATAGGGAACAGAAAGAAAATACGCAGTGGATCGAAGATAGTGTCACTACCTAGCATCATAGAACTCGATCCGATTTTCATTTTACACAATAATTATTTTCTTGAATAGAAAAGAAACACAAGCAAAACTTTTAAATTTGGACACGCCATGATTTATATCATAGGATTAAAAACAGACGAAATTTTTCATGTGAGATACTTGATTGTTTACAAAATATTAGAAATCATTAGTAATAAGAAAAAAACATGTCAAGTGGGAGTTTCATAAAGACACATTCTTGAAAAAAACATTTTGATTGTCAATGGTTTTCTATTTTACAATTTCTTTTTCAGGGCAGCATTGATTAGTTCCAGTGCTGTTAATGCATCCAATACCAATTCAAGTGCTTGCCGTTTACTTTTATTCTTATAAAATGATTTGATTATCGCGTGCTCAGCTGATGGATTGATACGAATAAAATCAGCTGTCCATTGTGAATCAATAAACATTTTCTCACTCTCCATTCGAACTGTTGGGACAGCCGTGCCAGCTCCTAATTCAATAATGACTAAATTCGCTTTTGATGCTACAAGATCTGCTTGAAATTGTTTGTAGTGGGAACATTGCTGCGCTTGTCTGCCATCAATATAACCCCAATCACCAAACATTAAAACATTTGGTCTGGCTAAACCATGGCAATCAGGACATTGAGGTAAAGGATCAATAACACAATTCGTAATTGGATCAACATTGAGTTTCAAGGCACCATCGGTAGGCCATATACGATTACGACAATTCTCCACACATTGCATATAATCGATTGAACCATGACATTCATATACGGCCGTTTCTTTCCAGTCTGATTTTATCCAATGACCATCGATGTTGCTTGTAAAACTAAATACGGATTTAATATGATTCAATTGACTCCATTCTTTTGCAATGGAATAACCATGGTGAGGAACAGCTGATGTATATGCATTGTATCGATAGGCCCAAAATGCGTAGCCGAAATTGGCCGTGTCATGTTTACTGCTATTGCCTTGGGGTTTAACGAACCAACTTGGATTACTCATATCAGTAAAATCCAATTCTGGATGTTCTAATAAAGGTGGCCAAACACCAGCTCCAATACCTCGAAATGTGCCAAGTCCACTACCAACACCCATCCCGGCACCACTCGTAAATAAAAGTGCGTCGCAATCGAGAATCAATTCAGCTGATTTATCAATCACCTTTGCTGTTTCACTATTAATACTTGGCAGATTTTCTGCAGTCGAGTTTTCTGATACTGTTGCAGATGCCATCACTAGTATCTTTCACTTCAAGTTCGTCGAAATCTTATGTATAATTGAATAATCTAAAGATGATTAAAAAAGAATGAATCACAATCATGGCATGATAAAAAATTCAGTTCTACTGCATTCATATCAGGAAGACAAAACAATCTGGGCACAAAATAAAATTATTTTCATTGGCATTGTTTCGATAAACACAAAATATAAGAGGTTCTATTCGTATGAAAATGAAAACATTTGATCGCTTGATACTTTTTTCATTTATATATATATATATTTTTTCTTATAGATGTCAAGCAAATAGACATCATCATCTGTTCGTGATAGGAGACCAACAATGAAGCTTACGACACTTCATTTCGAACTTACTTTGGTGCTTCTACATGATACACACATCCTCATTGTTTCAACATATATGAGAAGGGAAAGGAAAGGAAAAAAAGTGATTGGGTCATTCTCTCTATCGATTGAAATATTGCGATCAAAGATGTCGTATGATTATATAAGAATTTATTTGAGAAAAAAAAGAGAACACAAGACAATCTATTGTACAACATATTTTCTTGAATAGCACGAACAAGATTTTCAAATGGGTGATTTCCAAAACGCTGAAGCCACATAAACTCAATCAAATGAGTCCCGAGAAGAGTAACATGTTGACCCATTTGGACCTTCTTTTTTCTCTTCATGCACATCCATAAATTCTCAATATTCTGAGTGTGCGTTGAAGTTGTTGGATCAACGAAATTTTCAGAGTGATTGACCGTTTGATGGTTGTACCGATGAGGACCTGGTCCATTAGCAATGCCGTTGTAGGCGGCCCATTTATCACTGTAGATAGTAGTGCCTGGACGAATATATTCGTAGATGATTGGTAGAAGTGTTGCAGCGTCGCGTTGATCAACTAAAACTGCAAAACATTTGCGCGTATTTCTGTCGATACCGCCAAAAACCCACTGATTGAAAACAACACGCCCCCGATTGTGCTTTCTTTTCGTCCAGGCACTCTCATCTATTTCGACAATGTGCCCGGATTCTCCAATGACCACTGAATGTCTCAAAAAGTACTCACCGCACAAATCTCGAGCAAAATTCTTCCAATCAACTATGGCTGATTCGCTCGCAAACTTACAATGACGCCTTGAAAATGTATGCGAATCGATTTGTTGCGACCAGAAGTACGTAAGATCAAGAACTTGACGAAGTGAAAGCTTCGAATTGGAGAAAAACGTTCCTTGTCGAAGAGTTCTTGTACTTTTACATTTTCCACATCTCCATACATATTCATCAGATGCTCGTGCAGAAGAACCTAGTTTCCAATTATTATGACCTTGTGCACAAGGTTCATTTAGAGTGAAACCAATTAAGCCGACGTTTTGACAAAAATCGATACCTTTTTTAGTGCTACTAGTTAATTCACACCATTCACGAAAGTCAAGATTATCAAGAGATTGGAGTAATACGATATCCATGTTTGAGTGAAATTCTTTTCCTTCACCATATCTTTTATATCAACAGTTTTTATTAATTAATTAATTGACCTTTGAAACATTTTCTTTTTATTCTATTAGAACAATTTCGCTCTATTTGTTTTCTATAACTTTAATCATACGGCATCTTTGATCGCAATATTTCGATCGATAGAGAGAATGATCCAATTACTTATTTTCCTTTCCTTTCCATTCTCATACATGTCGAAACAATAAGGGTGTGTGTATCGTGTAGAAGCACCCTTACTTTCGTTTTCTTTGATTACAAAAAACGTTCTTAAAAAACAAAACAAAAAAAAAAGGAAAAGCACATTTGATTTGTATAATTCCGGCATAGATCAAGAAGAGCAAGTGAGTAGTGAAGAATGAATCATTCATGAGGAAATAAAAGTCGTATTGGAATAGGTGGAACAGAAGAGCAATGAGGAACCAAATTGTGTCATTGAAAGAGGGCGCATTACGACGTGCTTGTTACAACCCTTGTCGATAGGACACGCTACCGACATATGTGTCGACCCATGTACGTAACGTGTGTCATGATGTGTTAACACATGTACGGCCGTTGTGTCATACGCGTGTCAGTGTCATTTTTCTAATAATTTTATTGGCCCATTTTCTGTCGCTAGCAGTCAACCAATAAGCACTAGTGAGGGTGTGGGTGGGTGGGGGTGGGGGTGTGGTGATCCTTTCAATCATCCCAACATCCACACTCACATTCACCTTGATTCTGAGGGTGTGGGGTGTGGGTGTGGGTCTATCTTGGTTTGGGTGCATGGGCCTCTGAGACTGAACTATTGAATTTTTAGTGAATTTTTCCTGCAGGACCCCAGTTTTCCAGCAAATATATTTTTTCGAATTATGACCTGAAACTTTGCCCACACGAAGACCTCAACTAAACTAGCTTCCATAAAAATTTCAGAACTTTTGAACAAAGTCTCTCCGAGATATAAATTTTTCACGATATAGGCGCTTTTCCATAGACAGTGTATAAAACATGCATCTTTTGGAAAATTCATATCTCAGAGAGACTTTGTTCAAAAGTTCTGAAATTTTTCATGGAAGCTAGTTTAGTTGAGGTCTTCGTGTGGGCAAAGTTTCAGGTCAAAATTCGAAAAAATATATTTGCTCGAAAACTGGGGTCCTGCAGGAAAAATTCACTAAAAATTCAATAGCTCAGTCCCAGAGGCCCATGCACCCAAACCAAGATAGAATTTTTCACTGCTCACTAGGACCTATCGAATGGCAATGGTCCTGATCGAAAAGCGACTTAACACCTGGAGAGGTTCCCTCGTTAGCATCGTTTCAGAATTTGTAAAATACTCTTCATTGAGTTACATCGTATTGAGAGACTCATCCATCACTCAAATAATTCCGCATGACTAGATGTTTTTATTTTTCAACTTCAAATATTATATTGATTCGCCTTGTTTCACCATGATTACGGTGGATGCATTCGTGAACAATATTCAGAATGATGGAAGAAGCTAAAAAAATTCTTTTTTCATTCTCTTTCTGTCATATTAAAGCAACAAAAAGAACCGCTATGGCCTGCATTCTAACATTCGCCTAGAGTTTAAATAGTAAAAACACAGCAGTTTTCAACGATGCACAACAAGAACATGTCATCTTCTAATGACACAGATAACGAAACCATACTTGAATATACATCTGATATCAATTTCGGCCAATACCTTACATTGCAAATACTCATGCTTGTCTCTCTTCCGTGTTACTTGTTTGATTTTTATCATCTACTTATAAACAGGGCACTTCGTCGTGCAACTCATAATCATGTCATCATTTTGCTCCTTGCAAGCAGCTTCTTAATGGTTACTGTGGACGTTCCAGTTATACTTAACCTTTTTCGAACAGGTTTCTTGTGGCCAAGAACCGAAAGCTTCTGTTTTTTCTGGCTATTCATCGACTATTATCTGTTCCTAGCAAGTTTGTTGGCAATGGTCTTTGCATCTTTCGAGAGACATATCCTCATATTCCACAGTGGCCTCATCTCTACACGCAACAAACGCATATTTGTTCACTATTTGCCTATGGCCATTTGTGTTAGTTATCCTTTCTTATTTTATGTTGTTACCATTTTGCTGTATCCATGCTCGACTTATTACGATTCTACGATGGAAACTTGCACAGACGAATGCTATTTATCAAACAATTCGATACTTTCCATGTACGACAGCATTGCACACGGCACAATACCTACCCTTCTGATTATCATTTTTAATGTGACTCTATTAATTCGAGTACTTCGGCAAAAACAGCGAATGCACCAGAATATGAACTGGAGTCGACATCGAAAGATAACTGTGCAGATGTTAGGTATTTCGTTGCTCCATCTAATTACCAATTTGCCTTACTACACGATGGTTTTCTTTGGTATACTGGACCCAAGCTTATACCAATTTTCTCTGGAGCCTTATTTTGTGATGCTTCTCTATGTTACTTCAACAATTCTCCCCTTTATCTGTCTTGTTTCTGTACCAGAACTTCTAAAGAAGCTAAACTGTTTCAACAACAGAAAAACAGTCACTGTTCCAGCTGTAATCAATGTTATTCCGGCAGCAACCATCATAAGAAAAACTTAAACTTTCATCTATAACATTGATTTTGTTCATTTTTCAAATAAAATAATTTTATTCTGCTTCAATAGTTCTCAGAATATATCTAATAGAGAAGGACGCCCACGGTGCTCTCCCACCCTCAACTTTCAAAAAAAAATTACTAGATCATCAAAATTCTATCAACAATCCCATGTATTTGATCAATAAAGAAGATAATGAAATAAAATGTGCAAACTATCTCGTGATGTAAATAATGAGGTTTTTCAAAATTATTTATTGAACGTGTGTTCATTCAACATTTTTATCGCTCTAATGTCAGTCATATGAATGCTGAAGGAGAATACAGGAAGAAAGAGGATTATTTCTCGTTATTATTGTCATAGTTTTATTGTAATAGTTGAGTAAAAATGGTTATATCTAGACATTTGGTATGGCTTCTACTGATTGTTGACTTGGTCAAAAGTAATTTTGCATATATAAAGTTATTCAATATAGAAAATACACCAAGTACTTAAGCATATGATTGTATCTATTAGACGAATGTAACGGTCGCAAATAATGAAAAGATACCATACTGCATTCGAACAAATGAAAATATATCATTGAATCGTTCGTTCTTGACAAGAACTTTTGAAAATTCTGGTAAAGAATGAACTTTCAAAAGTTTAAAAGAAATGAATGTATCACAAGATGAACTGTTAATATGGAATTCAAGTATGGAAATGATTGATAAATATGCTGCATATTTAACACTAGAGTAAGTTTATTCTATACAAAGGATAATTTTTAAAACTTTCTTCGCTAGACATAAACAATTGTCTACTGAAAAAATTTGTAATTGTTCCTCGAGAACATTTGGTAAATTTTGTAAGTATCAATTTATGATCATGAATACGTTTGAAGATACTATTGACTATCAATTTCATTTGAAAAGAAAGTATCGTAATGGAAGTCAACTCTGTGGTAATATTACATGTTATACAACATTAAACGATTGTTATTATAGTTTGAGATGTTTAGCTTGGCAAAATATATGTGATGGTCAGTATTGTTTTCAATTTCTTACAGTACTGACAAAATATTTGTTATAGGGAAACAACAATGTATGGATGGTATAGATGAAGATCATTGTGAAGAACTAGAATATAATGAGTGTCAAGAGAATGAATATCGTTGTGACGATGATTCATGTATTGCTGAACAGTATTGGTTAGATGGAGAATTTGACTGTTTAGATATATCAAATGAGCAAGAAATCAGTGAACATGAGATATATTCACAATGCTGTCCACTCACTTCTTCTGACCTCAATTGCGATGAGATCACAGCACATTTTTCGTATTTTGCTTGTGGTGACGGACAGTTCGTATACAATGCTATGATATCAAGCAGATTTTTGCTACAACTATAGACTGAACATGTTCTTTTGTGAATATAAATGGATACGGTAACATCCATCTTTGTGGACACTTCGAAATGGACATTGTGTTGATAAAGATTGGATAGAAGACAGTTATATAAAAATGAATGAGTCAGAAAAATGCATTATCTTTCTGAAATGTAAATTAACAAATAATACAAACACTGGTTGTAATGAAGGAACTCATAATTTTCTGACGTTTTGCAAAGATCAGAAAATCAACTATCCTCCAGGACCTGTTTTTCAACCCTATGTTCAGACAGTATATCAGTTAGATGAATTGCAATCATCGTCTAGACCAAATTACGTGTATTTTAATCGAACTATAAAATGCGTTGGTTATCAGGCGTACTCTAGTTCAGATGAAATACATGTAAGTACTTACTTTGGAGTGATTTTATGTAACATTATCTATTCGATACTCTTTTCTGCAACAATTCACAGCTAATAGATATTTATGGTTCACAGTTTAATAAAAATTGTTGAAATGAAACTAAGCAATCGTTTTTTTCGTGAAAGGAGGTATCGATGCATTTCGAAGTATCGTGTTGGAAACAATTACGGCGATTGTTTCGACGGTAAAGATAAATATAACGGCCAAGAATGTCAAATGAAACAAAAACATCGACTAACTTGTATTTATAAAATACCAATTTGTCTGTCAGTGTCACAAATCAGAAATGGAATTCCTAATTGCAATGATAGCAGTGATGAATATGTAGTACAATCGAACCGTCTCTATCATCATCGCAAATGCACAGCATCTAGTTCCGCAGAATGTATATTTCTTAAAAGCTACGTTCAATCGGAATGTGGGTGTGACTGCGGGTGTTGATGTGAGTGTTTATATGGATGAAGAGAAGGCCACTACCTACACTCACACCCCCACACCCACACCCATGGTTAGTTTTTATGTCTTTTTCTGGATGAAAGACGACATGATATTTGATGATGAATCTGCGCTGTTCTTTTGTATATCAGTTAAAACAGTAAAAAAACGAAGACATCACATTATTGATGCTTTTCTGAAGATCATGCTTTTTTTTGTTACTACTTTCTTGCAAAGAAAATGCTAATGATTGCAACAATAAGTGTCATCATAAATCATGAACAAAGTTTTAAAAAATATACCGAATCAAATATAACTATATATTTATTTGAATCGTAGCAACTTTTAGGATTATACTAAAACATTGCTTTGACTCTTCTTATATCTAAACTTTTTCCATAATTATCATTATGGAAGAAGAAAACATCACTATCACAGACTATCCTGCAACTTCTAAGCCTGTCCTATTTTGGCATAGTGTTGTTGTTCGTCGAAATTTTATCTATTATTTGTAATCTTATTATATTAACTTACTTTTTCTTTCGTTGGAAATCGATGATAATTAAAGCTTTACACAATCATGCCATTTTTCTTCTTATTATTGTTTCATTTTTTTATACCACTCTTGATCTACTGTTTACTCTCAATTCTGAGCGTATTGGCTATGATAATCTCTAAACATTATCATTTGGTCGTTGGTGGTATTGGATTGATTGGTCTCTTCTTGTTATTAGTCTTTGTCTCACAGCTATTGCCAGTATTCAACGACATATTCTTATATTTAATAATCACTGGTTACTTATACATCGAAGACGTTTGATAGTTCATTATATTCCATTAATATTTTGTATATTTTATCCATCCACCTTTTATCTCATTTTCATCTATTTCTATCCATGTGAAATGTCAACTTATGATTATGTTCAATACTGTTCGTATCCTTGTTATTCGGATAATCTTGTCTTATACACCATTGATTATATAGTCCATACAATACTTCCAGTAATTGTTATTATAATAGCAAATATTACATTAATATGTCGAGTGATTCATTCAATGCAAAAAATTCGTCAATGTCATTTTGATATTTGGAAAAGACAGAAAAAAGTAACCTTACAATTAATTGTTTTTTCATCATTATATATCATAGGATGGGATTCTGTGACAGTTGTATCTGTTATACAAATGTATTTTATGCTTAACGTATATGACGACATACCTGAAATTTATTATATTACCTTTTCAATATATTTTATTTGTACGTTACAATCCATTATATGTTTATTTACATTACCTGAATTGATGAATTATATCAAAAAGAAATTGAAACAAATACTGGCAAGAGAAACTGTAGCACCTGTGGAGACAATTCCATCAATTAGTTAACTTTTGTTTCATATTTTCTTTTTCTGACACTATAAAATATAGAGAATACTATTGATTTGTGTTAAATTCTTCGTGAATAGTTGCACGTGGACATAAAATAATTCAAGCTGTTTAATGCTATTTCTGTTTGAATTTCATTAATTCATAGAAATGAAAGACATGTTTAGATGTTGATGTTTTGATGATATTTATGAACATGACATATGATATGAGAACTTCTATTTTCATTATATCTACTCAATCGCACACTGCAAAAAAGACTGAATGTGAGAATGTATTTTTATCTTAGCACGATTAAGAATATCATTCAAACGTCAAGTACAAAATTGATTTGTTTATTCTTTCTGTTTTCAATTTTCAATGTTGAATTTTAATATAATTTTAAGAGCATAGGTTTTTATTAACAACCGAATAAATAGTGATATCTGTTTTAGATTTTCTAGCAATCTTCGATAATAACCTTACTGCATCATTATTACACAATTTTCTTAATAACGCTACGTTACTTCTGAAATGTAAACTCACACTTCACGAGTGTGTACTTCAAGTTTTGCTTGAAGCTCCAGCTGATTGAATTACATATGTGCTCTAAAATATCAGAAAGTTCATGTTTTAGTGAAGTCTTAAATAAGCAGATTATATACAAAATTTGAAAATTTCTCAATACTTGTTTCATTATCATACGAACGTCGATGATATGAGTCATAAAACATAAATGATAGAATCTTTCGCAATTTCTTGCTGTTCTTGTGTAATTTTTTTTCCATGTATATATTTAAAGACTTTATTTCGTTTAGTTTCATTATACATTTAGAATAGAGTAAGTTTTATAATTATTTTCTTTATTGTTAAGTTGATAAACTGTTTGTATTTTAGTATCATTAAACTATGGCGTCAGATATTGATTATAGTAGTTTTGATTATAATTCAAGTCAAGATTCTTTCGATATCGATTACCAAATAGATCTATTTGAATTTCGTCAATTTGTAAAATCTAAAAAAACAAAACAAAAAATAAAAAAATCTTCTTGTCCAATTTCAATGAAAACTCTTAAATCCCAACCAACGCTTGTTCAAATTAATTGTATGAGTTATAAAAAAACGCCAAAAGCTGAACAAAAATCATTTCGTTATAATCGTTATCCACAAAATCCAGAGTTATTCGAATGTGATGAAGTATTTGATGAAAAATCAACACGTGTTCAGTCAAATATACCATCCAATCCATCTAAAATACTTGAACCTGAACATCTACAAAGTTTTTCAAACTTTCGTCATCATTTCTATCATGTTAATCATCAACGTATTAAATCTTCTATTAAAGATCATCCTAATGTTGAAATTACTGATATTCGTCTTGCATCAGTTAATGAATCTGTTCAAAATGATTTTATGAAAACATTAAATCAAAATATTTCATATTTTCCACAATTAGTTTATCATGGTACCATGTTGAATAGTATTGAAAGTATTCTTCGTTATGGTTTTTTGATACCAAATCGAGCACATCCATTCAATAGTGAAGCACCTATTATTACTTCAGCACATGGTCGATCGTTTGGGACTGGAATTTATTGTAGTCGAACAGCTGTTTATTCTTTATCATATGTCAATACTACTAATACTCTCTTAGTATGTGCAGCAATACCAAAACGAGACAAAGTTGGACAAATTGAACGTTGCCATGGAAATATATTAGTTTTATCTGATGTAACACGAATTATACCATTATTTTTCATTGATTTCAAATATCTGAATCAATCAGGTATCAATCAACCTTGGTATCACAAGCAAAATGAATCAAAAATGGATGAAAATCAGGAAATAAAAACACCTGTTGTTATTTCAAGAAAATATTTACGAAAAGTACTAAATTATATGAATGATGATGAACGAAAGAATAATCAATATCAAATGCGATCGTTTGATTTATTCAATTGATGTAGATTTTTTGTATTGTTCGAAATAAAAATAAGAAAAATAATTTTGAACTATGAGTGTGAAAATAAAGTTGAGTGTAATCTTCTAATTCTTATTCTCACGCATCTCATCCTTAAGAATTATTTCTGCTTTCTATATCTTATTTTCATAAGTTTATATTTATAGTGGTCAAGATAAGTTGCATTTACACGGTACATATAAAAGTGTATGTAGCTTATCCTTGCGGGTTTGAACCAATCAGATAGCATTCCATGTTTGTTTCTCTTGTGTTCTGTCATCTTTGGTAGTTATGAATGAATGAATTGTTGCGAATTAATCCTTGCATAGATCATCGTTAAAGATCGAAACATTGTTTCATTTCGATGAATATCAAATTTTGAGTTATGTCATTGTTAAAATTGACATAGAAAACAATTTGAAAATCTCAAATGATCTTATAATTTTCTTCGGATCGTTTCAAACATAATTTCTTTTCCTATTTGACATCGATGAACAATAATTTCAACTCATCAAAGTTAAATTGGATAGTTTGTTAATCGATTCTAAACCCATGTCTGAACAATCATCAACGATTTCTCATCAAATTTCACTTAGAAAATCAAAAGATGTTTTTGATTAGAAGAAAAAAGATTTACCATTCTTATCTAATTAATATTATTTTTCTCTTATCAATTTGAAGTATAGAACCTGGTACATGCTATCTAAGTTATCAAAATCTCAATTACGAGTTGTATCAATACCAGAAATTGATTATTTTAGCAGATCTATTTTTAAAGAAATGTCAATTACATCATTAACCATTTACCATTGTGATTTTTATGAATTATGTGAATTATTCAAACATAAATTAATTTTAAAGTATTAACATGGCAATAAGCAGGAAGACGAATGTCTCATTACGGTCAAGCAGGTTAGGAAAGATGTCATTTGTTGAATGATATTTGTGTCATTAAACGGTTACGAACTTTGACCTGCATTGTCATATCCTTGTTTTTGCGTTGTTATCAACGAAAGAAAAGTTCATTATCAATACGGAGATGGAAAAGAAACAAAATATGTTTTTCATTCGTCGCTTTTTACCCATTGTTCAAGGTCATCGAATGAGTATAAAAAGCGATAGGCTACTGTACTACTTTCATCCTTGATTTTGAAAATATGGAAGAAAGTATCGATCACTACCCTTCAAAACGACTCAAAATAATTCATGAACAAAGTAAGGTTTTTTTGTCGTATATAAATATCAACATATCATCTGATTTTATATAATAAAGATCGTTATTCTACGTTTGAATGTCTCTCTGGCGAGATGATTCTCGGTCTATTCGAATATTTCAATACCAATGAGATTCTAGAAACCTTCTTCAATCTTACACCACTCATTAATTCGTGTGTATTCGATCGACGTCAAGAATTTCATTTGTATCTCGATCGTTCAATGCCCTTTCTTAATAACAAATATTTTCATGACCAAGTTATCTCACTCCACATTGAACATCTCATTATTCAAATTGATATATTTCCCAATCTTAAATCACTTTGCATCGTCTATGACAATGAACATGAACACGAATGTCTCAATATGGTTCAGCAGGTTAGATAGAATATCAATAAATTTTGAAAAAGTATTGTTTGGAATTATGATGAATCCGAATTTGCTATAAAATTCACTGTGAAATATGTAGGGTCTTGTTTTTGCAGCTGCTATGTTTGTTTAGATTGATAAACTGTCTCAGTTGGTCAACTTTACGTTGTCACTCGTCGGTCCTGAATTGACATTGATCGGCCACAAAATGATCGAAATTTCTTTATGTCATCCATCTCTTCGACGAATCATTTTATCGAAGAGCGAGAAACCACGTTCGCATTCATCATACAAAGCACCACCAGTCAAGTTGATCTTCCCTACAATCAAACTCGTTCATGTGTCGGATGATTTTCATGGTGAAAAAATTCGTCAGCTTTGTTATAAAAAAAATAGTCTCCAACAAGAACGTATTGAGCCGCACTATCATGTCCGTTGCCTCGATCTTGATTTCAACAATTGGCGTGTGCAAACACTAATCGATCTCTTGTCTTCTTTACCTTTGTTGGTTGAACTAACAATTAAAGGCTGCGGACAAGTTGGCAACTGGTTATGGTTCCATATTTGGGACCGAATGTTGCAAAAACTAAAGGCATTACAACGGGTCGCTATTGACATCTACATCTGTCATCCGATAATCACAAAACAAGAGAAAATTCAAAAATTCAACAAACAAGTAGAACGAGCAATTCAAACATGCAAACGAATAAACTTGACACTAGGAATAAGAAAAAAAGAGCCAGGTTTGGGCTGTTTCCAGCTCAGTGCCTTGCTTAACATGGACTAAACTATCAACGAACTTCAAGAAACTATACTCGGTAGTATATCGTTTAAAATGTTCATTTATTCATTATAACTTTTGTTGTGTATATTTATTAATGTTTGACATTGAGTTGTGTGTGTTATTCTAAAGCAATCTTGATATTTTCTAAAAAACAATCACAATTGATAAAAAGAATATAGAAAAAAGTTTGACCCGTATACCTGAAACATAATACAGGTAAGACAAATATACAAAACAACATATTTTTATGCAGTCATATTTATAAAATATTTTCAATTTGTATGGATTATAGAGATCAATAAAGTTATTAAAGTACGAAAAACTGTAAACGTCGTATTTTCTTTGATAGAAAACTGCTACTGATATATATACATTGAGATAGGCTAGTGTCTATCCTACGGCTACGACTGTTCTTACCACCGCAGAACTCGATCAGATGAATACGTATTCATAAACTCATCAAGAATACGTCTGTCACTTATAGTATCTGAGAATTTTTTAATCCAAAACGCAAGAAATTCGTCTTCATCATTTGCCGTCCAATCCATTTTTCGAAGAAATTCGAGTAGTAGACGAAAGTGAAGAACATCCCCATCAAAACCAATAGTCGAGTCACCACGCATGTTAACCGAGAAAGTTACTACTGATATCGATACTTTCACCTTATTCATTCGCTTTTGATCAAGTTCAAGTTTATTGACAAGTTAATGCATCTCGTTAAATATATCACTTATTTTTAAAGAGAATACAATGGACGATCTTTAAAATATGAGCATTGAATATGAATCGTAGAATTCACCTTAGCAAAATTCTTCATCCACGCTTCTTCCTAGTTTTGACTACGACAGTAAATGTAGATTGATTTAATGTTTTTCAAGATTATGAATCGTGAAATTCAACTCTCTCTCACTTTTACTTCACTCTAAATATCAAATATATTGATGACTTATGGTGAGAGATTTAATTTTCTTGTAGCTCAAACGACATATTTTTGGATCAGCGAAATTAAGAAGAAATCTTTGTCTATCAAAATATTCATTGATAATAAAAGAATTTATCAATTATCGAATCATAAGACTATATTTTAAGGTAAAAAATAAGTCAGATGAACTACGAAGAAGAATTTTTCTCTGATTTTCCATGATAAAAATTGATCAAAAGATTGAATATAATAATTCAACGGATGCATGATGTGTATTGTAAAGAAGTTTATTGGCTAATTCTTGCCGTTGTTTCTTTCAAATTAAAACCAAATTGAATAAAATATCTATATAAAAAAAAAGATGAAATATATTAATCAAGCAAATAAACATACATTTTAGCATCAGAATGTTTATCTTCAATTGTTACATGTTCGGAAAGTGATTAAACCAACAAGATTTAGTAACCTGTTTTTTTGTATTTATGTTCTTTCGAGATTTCTATAATGGTGTGGGTGTGGGTGTGTTTACATAAGAATAATTCCAAGCATCATACGACGCGTTTCAACTATTGCTTAAATAGTCATCATCAGGTATGTTCGAAATTAAAACTATATGGATATAACAAAGAAGAATTAATATATCAAAACCTATATATTGAAAATAAACTATATGAAAGTCAAAAGACTAACAACAAGTTAAATTTCAAAGGTTTACGATAAGATATTCAACAAAGTTATATATAATACATAGTTATTCTTAAATAAATGGTGTGAAGAAGCTGCCAGGACCGGCTTCGTTCTTGCTTAAGGGACTCATCAGGTCGCTTATCTATTCTGATTTTTTCAAAAAGAAAATCCAAAACAAGATAAATCTTCAGTGTTACAAGAACAAAGAATGAACTTGTAATAGAAGATGAAATTGTGGGTGTGTAGAAGTTACCATAATACTATAATAGTGTTTCGATTTTTCATAAAAATCTTATCAAGTAGCAAGTATCCGTTGAATTGATTCAACTCGAAAAAGAAGTCAAATCAAAAACAAGATACTTCAAAACGAATTCTATCTCGATAAAGATCGAGTAGAAATTCGAACACCAAATAAGGATGTGCAGAAGTTACCACATTACTAAGATAATAGAAAAATTGAGTGCAATGTTTTTTCCAGAGATAAGTTTTTTAAATCTGAATGCCAGTAATAGTATGAGGGTGTGGGTGTAGATCAGAAAACACTCCACACCTATACCCACACCCACACCCACACCCACACCCTCAATCATACCTTACGTCAATACATCGTCTTGTATAACAACTAATTCTGAGCAGTCAGTCTGAAAGATGTGATTGAAGTAGTCTGGATAGTACTTAATGTCCTTTTACTCAACCACTCTTTCAATCTTACTTTTTTCTTGTCGATATCAAAAGCATGATATTTTCGTCATTTGCAAATACTCAACCACATGTATAGCTGGAAATTCTCATCTGTTGATGCTCACAATAATCAACGATAGAAGGAAAAAGAGAAGACAGAGTTTCACATACACGCACAGTTATTTGCCTGGACTGAAAACAACTAAAATATGGATAAAGCACATCTCAAAATAATCATTTTTAGCGACGTTGTTTTACTTAAAAGAAGATAAACTTTCTTTTTAGTTGACACGTGCTTCATTGAATTCCTCAATATCATTTTTTTCAATTTTATAATTATTTTT